ATAGTGTTGAAAGCCATAAATAAGCCACAGATCTCACTTTGGACCATGATCTGACTGTCCATCCTTGAAAGTGCCTCACTGCTGCAAGTATACAAGAAGTTGACATTTCTAGTCAGGCCAAATTAAAAAATAAATAATAATAATGGAAGAAATGGTTTCATCTCCCTTCCCCATTTGTTTCCTTGATCCTTGGGACAGCATTGGTAGACACAGTGGTTAAGCAGGAGGAAACAGACTCATAGCGAAACCCACACCATTGTTTCCCTCCCTCACATACGTACGGGAAGGGAGACATATACAACAACAGGATCCTTGAGATTAGACCTGAAAGGGGCCTCAAGAGATGATGTGGAGAGGCAGTGTGGCTCAGTGGAGCAGACTGCCCAGGTTCAAACCCCAGTTGCACCTTTACTAATTACATGATGTCAGGCAAGTTACTTAACACCACCCTGTTCCTCAGTTTCCTCTTCCATTTCAAATGGAGATGATGATAGTACCCTCCTCTTAGGGGTGCAGTGCGAATTAAGAAAAAGCAAGTATCTGTAGTTTTTATATTATTTGTCATATAAGGAAGCCTAGAGCGTTGGGCTTTCTTGATTCATGTTCTCATCTCCAGAAGTATGCAGCCCTCTTTTCTGCCTGTCTAAGGAAGTGTTCTAAGAGAAGCCACACTTTACAGACAGATGGAGTGAGCACTTCGTCTGTGATAATTATTCCCACAACCAGAACAGAGGATCTCCTTATCCGGCCTGGGGACCTTTCTCCAAGTTAATCGCATTCTCTTTCCTGCTTGGTCTACTCCTTGTCTTTTACTAGGGACACAGTGGTTAAGTATTTGGGTACTAATCAAAAGACCAGTGGTACAAACTTACCAGCCATTCCATGGGAGAAAGATGAGGCAGTCTGTTGCTATAAAGATTTACAGCCTTGGAACCCCTGTGGGGCAGTTCTACTTTGTCCTGTAGGGTCACTATGAGTTAGAATAGCTCAATGGCAACAAATTTATCTTTTATTATTTATTCCTATGTGAGCTCTGGTGGCGCAGTGCCTAAGGCATTTGCCTGCTAACCAGAAGGCTGGCAGTTCAAACCCACCAGCCACTCCTCGGAAGGAAGACTGGGCAATCTACTTCCATAGTGATACCTCAGAAACCCAAGGAGGGGTCGCTATGAGTCAGAAAACCTCCAAGGGCTGAGGGAGGAAGGAGAGTAAGTAGGGACTCTAAAGGCCATAGGAACTTCACCACCACCCCAATGGCCCCACAGCTCTGAGCAGGTGAGTGGGGCTAGGCTGAAGATGGGGCTACTCTTTGAATAAGACTCAGGCTCTCGGCCCCAGAGGCTAATTATCCTCAACACTTTAAATTCAGGGAGATCTCCTGCTGCAGTCTTACACTGAACCCTTAGTTTTTCATACTTGAACCAAATCAGTTGCCAGTAACTATGATTCACGGGGACCCCATGTGTGAGAACAGAACTGTGCTCCACAGGGCTTTCAACAGCTGGTTTTTTCAGAAGCGGATCACCAGGCTTTTCTTCTGAGGCATCTCCAGGTGGACCCCAACCTTTTGGTTAGCAGCCAAGCTCATTAACAGTTTGTACAAACCAGGGACCCTTTTGTACATTCAAAACTATTATTCTTAGGAGGCCCACTAAACCCTCCTAATAAATATAGCTGATACACACATGTGCAACCACATCCACCATCAGCTTGGGATGTCCTGTGGGAGGTCAGGTGAAGAATATCGATGACAGTGGTGGAGGGAGTCACTCTAGGTCCTTGGTAACATGTTGATGGTAAAGATGTTTCAGTGGACACCAATTGTTTACATCATGCCATACACGTAAATTAAAACTGAAAATCAGATGCCAATGAAATTTTTCTATTTTCCAATATTCTGAAATTGGGTGTTGCATAAACAAAACCCTGAGCTTCTCTGCCTAAATTATTTTTACTTTAATCTGTAGCTTTGGATCGCAAGTTATCTTGAGTTCTCTGACAAATTAATGCATTGTTAGCAAAGTAATTTCGGAATAAAACACGCACACATAGACAGATCCCTTGATATGTACAGGTTTTAATTACTCTCTGGGCATTCATTTGATCAAATCCTGGGAAGAAGAGTGTACGTATGTAAAACACACATACTTATGCATAGATAAAAACGCAGCACACACACAGCATGCTATTTTAAGAATCTGAACTCCATCTTTCAACAAAGTTTAGCTGCTTTCATTTTGCAAATGCATTTAATTTTATCTGGAAACTTTTTGACATTAGAAATAGAACAACTGTAGTTTCTCATTATGTTTGCTGCCAGAATCCATGCTTGGTTGCTCAACTAAAGACCTTATATTGCTAATTACTACCACATGCCCATATCCCAAGCGAAAGAAAACTTATTGATTCTGACAGCCCATTCTCTCAACACTGAATTCCAAATGAAAACTCAAATTTTGGCCAAACATAACATTTCATCAATCTTGTTCTACTGACTGGAAAAACAACATCAAACAAAGGGTGCTAATGGCCCTTTATTACCGTTCCCTTCCCAAGCTTATATTTTCCGATGAAAGATCTAAGTGACCAAAGGGCTTCTTTAAACTACTTAGTAATTAGCTTTTGAACCAGGAAACAATGCGTAAAGTGAAGTGAACAGTCTCAGTGCTGATGACAGAAACCGACTCTGTCCGAGGAGAGGAGCCGGGGGACATTGGAGACCCAAAGAGAACTTTAAAAGCAAAGTGTGCATTTTCATAAAGAGAGGAAAAAGGACAAAGAACACCAGCCTTAAAGTGGTGATAAAAGATTATGGAGCAAGAAGAAAAGCTGCAGGAATTCTGTGATCTGAAGTCCCCTCCCCAGCATGTGGGGGTCGAAGTGACAAGGCAGAAAAGATGACTGGACCAGACCAAGGGCTGGTGAGTGAGTGTTGGTCTGAGGGCGTCATCTGGTCACCCATCAACAAAAGCTGCCAGCCACCAGGCCCACCCACATTGGACTAAAGAAATGACTTTAGAAAAAAAATTACCTGGAGTGATGGTCAAGAAATATTCTGAACAGACTGCAGGGCAATTGATTTTACTGACTTCTTCAGGGACAGGGATGGGGAAATGCTGGATTAGACAGTGGGTTGGGAGGCCACGAAGAGAGCCGAGGTCCTCCGAATGCGTTCTGCTTTATGGCGACCTGTCCCCGTCTTAAAGCCCAAATGAACAGAGAAGCTGTTTTCCTCTTGGCATGTGATAGATTATCAAGGGGAGTCTCTGAACTTATTTGGCCTCTTGGATTCAACCAATGGCCCAGAAATGGAACAGCTTGGCCCTAACCTCATCCAGAGCTGTTAAGATAATAGGAAGAGGAGGACTCCATTAGGGGGAAGTGGAGGAGGGTACTGCCTCCATTGAAAAGTCGCCAACTGGCTTCCTCTTGCACATGGTCCTTTGTTCCTTTGAAAGGAAACTGGTGTCCTGTGGGTAGTTCAAGAAAATGAGCCTCTTTTCCCACCTACTCATTTGCTAAACAGAGGCCTGGACACCTGAGCTCAGGAGGCGCTGGGATCCCTGACAGGAGAGGAGCTGGCTCTATACAATGTGGCCTCCTGTCGCAGCAAGGGGCGGGCAATTGAGGAAAATACAAGGCTAATAGCTTGATTTTCTCTTAAAAAACAAAAACAGAAAGCAAAATAAGCTATTCTAGAGTTTATCTTCAAATAAATGGAGGGAGGGAGGGAAAAACAGTTCCATTATGGAAACTTTTATGACTGGGATGGGGCATGAGTGAACATTCTACGGTGTTGAAAATAGCCTGTATGTGACCTGGATTGTAAGTATGGGGTGTGTGCACAGGTAAAAATTCCTTGATCTCACTTAAAGATTTAAATGTCTTATTGTGTGTGAATTACAAAAAATTTTTGTGTAATTTTGTTACTGCAAAAAACAAACCAACCTGCAGTTCCAAGAGAAAGCTTTGAAAAAAAAAACAAGGAACAGTTGCTGCAGCCTTGCCTCCCCTTACCATCTTCATAGAGGATAGTGCTCTAACGGAAGACAGGAATGGTGTCATGTTCTGCCACTTACTTCAGAGAAAAGCTTCTGGTTAGTATTGGACCCATACACTGATATTGTTGTTATGTGATCTGAGAACAAAACGAAAGGCTCTGGGAAAAGCACTCATGTATGGAAAGCTAAATAAGAGACCCAACACTTTCTGATGTCCAGACATCCCACAAACATATGGAATTTCAACAGAGCAATGAGTGCCTTTGAGAATAAGACTGATCTCCTCCTGGCTGAAGAGGAGAACTAGTCCCTGGTGGCCATAATGTCTTCACAGGAGGAAGACCATGACTTCACCCTGTAAGGATGTCCCTAGGACAGCATCACCCCATGCAGTTAGTGCACAAAGACGACAAGAGCCCAGTCCCACATCACTTTGAAAGACCACAATCGAATCACTAAGCCAGCTGAGGTGAGGAACAAATGAGTTTGGCCTACCCCTTAGGAGTCAAAACAGAAAATAGGAGCCCAGTTATAGATTAACCCCCTTCTGGGATAAATTTACTCTTCTTCTTGGAAAAGATAGGTTGGGAAGAAAATTTTGAGTGAGAACAAGGCCTAGGTACGTGGTCTGAGCATGACAGCTTGTTGGGGATAACCCCTGACGACACACCCCATGGAGAATGTGGCCCCTCCCTCACAGAAGCCCCCAGTGGGGCAGGAAGCAGAGCTGGATTCAGGTGTCACCAATACAAGGACTTTTAAAAGTCACTCATCCACATCTTTTCTGATGCAACTGACTTACTTTCTGCCTCCATGTTTGTTAAAAGTCCCGCCGAATTTATTCCGATTCAGGATGAGAGCAGCAATTTCGGGCACGTAGCGGGCAAACATTGCCTACATGCATGAAACAAAAGAAACAAGAGCCAAAAAAAAAAAAAGAATGGCATGCAGAGAGGATTCTACAGCAGGGGAGGCAGCAAAACCTCTTGGCATACTTACTTTCTTCCACTAACCGCACTATAGGAGCCCCCGTATTTCTTGCGGTTTCCTATTAACTCTATGATTTCAGGGACGTAGCTGGCAAACATGGCCTGAGGAGAAGATAGGAGACAGAAGAGAGACTAAAAAGACAGGCCAAAGAAAGGGGTGACCTTTTCAGAAGGGGTGGGCGGAGAATACTAAGATCTGAAAACACAAAAGGGTTAGAACTGTGAAGGTACATATTAATATAATTGATTATAAAATAAAATAAAAGTACAAAAAAGGGTAAGCTCGTGAGAACACACAGGACAAAACAAAACATTAGCCAACCTACACAACTAAAAAAAAAAAATCACAACTGAGAAAAGGACTAGGGAGAAAGGAATAAATAAGTTGCCACCTAGCTCTTCTTTCTGAAGAGAAATAAGTTAAAGGGTGCATGCCAGCAACGTAAAACATGCACACATTCTACTATGAGAAAAGACCTTTCATTCTGATTAAAACTTAAAGGAGAATCAATGTCTTTATGAATTATTAAAGACAATGAACACCAAAACAAAAAGAAATCCTTTCCATTGAAAAAACAAAACACAAAAAACAAACACTAGAAAGCACAAAAGGTAAATTTAGGAACTCATATGGGTGGAAAGGAAAGCAGGGAGGAAAACAAAGCTGCCATGTTTTGCCCAACAAACATCTTGCTTGTGGCTGGAGAGTCCTAGGCCTTCCTTTTTGATAGCTGGGTTTCATGATCTATAGGGACTTCATAGATGCTGGGGAAACACTTGTGTTAATGTACACATGCACATGACATTTATATACATGTTTCAATGTTTATGTCATGCATACAAAATTGACAGACTGGTATGCATAGAGAAATATAAATACATGTGCTGTTACATAAGTGACAGCCAAGTGTGAATTAGGATTTTAATCACTTACCTCAGATACAGCAAAAAAAAAAAAAAAAAAAAGTCTAAACTTCAAATGAGTACCTTGGAAAGACAAAAGGCAGCTACTGCCAATGTATTGCCAGAAATTCCCCATGGATATTAAATCACAACAGACATGTGAATGCTACATAGAGATCTGCACAGATCAGAAAAGAAAATAGGGAGGATTTCCGGCTTACAAAGGCGGTGGGAAAATGCCGTGTGTTGCTTGCAAGATGGAACTGGCTGTTTGCAAAACTGCAACCTGCTCCCGGGTGGTGTCCACCGGGATGAGCCCCGTGTACTCTCCATCCTCTGCTGTGGGTACCTTACTCTTGAGGGCAGACCCCAGCCACAGTGTTTGTTGGAAGTTTAGGGAGGAGCGTGAAGGGGGAGGGGAGCTCTTGAAACCGCCAACTGTCTACAGAGTATCAACAGAATCTACCAGGGTCAGGTGACAGCAACTGTCCTTGCAGAATATCAGATCTTGAGTTCCATTACTAAGGGACAGGCACTCTGTTTATTAACAATAGCACTTTCTTAAGACAATTAGGTTTGCCCCTGGCTATATAGCTGTCCCTGACAAGGGCAATATATCTGGGTGGTATAACTCTTTGTCTATAGGAGACTAACTTAATACACCAAAGAGTGTGCAGGAAAGTCACCACTATGCTTTATTTACTTAGCTGGATGCAACACTAAGACAATCACTTGCTTCTAAAGTAGAAACATGATACAAAACTACAACACTTTAAGTACATGGATAATAGAAAATACTTAAGACCGTATAAGTCAACATCATAATAAAGGGTTTTTACCAGTCCCCCAAGGATGAAGAAGACCATGAAGAGGCGGCCAAGTGTGGTTTTTGCATAAACGTCCCCATAGCCAACGGTGGACATGGTGACCATGAGTAAATAGACACATTCCCAGTATGTAAGCGCCTGGTTGTTTTGGAAATTTTCCCATGGGTCCCCTGAATTCTCCACCTATGGCAAGGGGACAGGAGAGAAAAACAAAACAAAATTACATATATGTATAATAAACCAGAAAACACGAGTGCTCCAGCAGGCCACGTCCTGATCCACATGGCCCTCCACACAATGTCAATGGTTTCCTGGGTAGAGATCTACAGACGATGGCTGAGCAGTAGGTAATGGAGGAAGTGGAGTTGTGGGAGCTCTGGTGGCATGTTGCCTAAAGCACTTGACTGCTAATCAGAAGGCTGGCAGTTCAAACCCACCAGCCACTCCTCGGAGGAAGGTTGGACAATCTATTTCCGTAGTGATACTGCCTCAGAAACCCAAGGAGGGGTCTCTATGAGTCAGAAATGACTTGATGGCAGTGAGTTTGCTTTGGTTTTCTTTAGATGATTAAGGCAAAGAAGAGAAGGAAGGGAGGAGATATCCCAAGTGCATTTTTCTTCTTGCTCTTGCAGATCAGAGGTCAGCTGAACCTTGGGGCATTGTCTCTGGTCAGGTCTGACAGCATTCTCTTCAAGAAAAGAAGCCAGAAAGCCCTTCCTTGACCTTCCTCTGAGAGTTTCTGTTCAAGCTCAGAGTCCTGGTCACTAACACTGTCACCCTATCAAGGGTCTCCTCCTGTCATCATTTTGACCAACGAGATGCCTGGTGGGCCTTGCCCCTTCAAATCTGATGTTCATATTCCAGACAGACTTTGGAGAGTCTCTCAGAGATGCGCCATCTTCCTCAGTTTCTCTGTAGACTGCTCACGAAGCATTCTACACTTTGGCTGAACAATTTCCCTGAGAGCAGGAAAAGTAACCTCATGAGAACAGTTAGCATTTGATCAACCCTTTAACCAAGCACCTCCTGCAAACTTCTCCTAGAAAGGGTCAGAAAGTAAACATTTTCAGCTTGGCTCTCTGTCACAGGTCTCAATTCTGCCATGGTAGCCCGAAAGTAGCCATAAATCAGCTGCTGTCCAGTTAATTCCAACTCGTGATGACCTCACGTGCCATGCCAAAGTAGAACTTCCCCCAAAGGTTTTCAAGGCTGTGACCTTTCAGAAGCAAGGGCCTCTGCCTGGGTTCAAACCTCCAACCTTTCAGTTGGCAATCAAGCGCTTAACTGTTTGCACCAGCCAGGACTCTGAAAGTAGCCATAGGCAAGACCTAGAATAACGGGCATGGCCAGATTTGGCTCATGGGCTGTACTTTTCCCATGCCTGCCTTAGGCTTCACAAAACATTTCCCTGTTGGCCCATATTTGATCTGCCAACTCTACTATGACGGCGACAGGACAGCCACTGTATCTCTGCCTGGGAGATGAAAAGACTACCAGAAAGAGCAAGTGACTGGGCTGGATCCTCAGACTACTACCTCAGACCCCAGCCCTCTCAGCCACTGGACAGTCAACTCATGTGATGTGCCACTGGCTGGCCTCCAGCTCTCCCTCTGCAAACTGGTTCCAGGACCTGGCCTCTTTCACACATTGATGTTGTCCTCAATATGTCATCTTCATGGAGGTTTCTTGGTGACCCAGAAGGTCGTTCACATAATACTTCTATAAGGTAGGGTCACATGCCACCTCAAGACCACGCTCTCCACTACATGTATGCTTTTAGCACTTGGCACCTGATCGCAACAAGAACTGGTGTGATTCATCTAATAGTGATTTCAGCCATGAATCCTGTCGGCATAAGGGATTGGATGGGGAGTTCCCAGTGCCTCTCGACTTCTGATCCAGGCCTGTCTTCCTTTGGGTGATAACGGCATAAATCCCACACAGAAGGTAACTAACTGCATACTTCTAAGCCCCTATACAGGGGTTCCTGGGTGGCACAAATCATTATGTTCTGCACTACTACTAGTTTGAACTCATCAGAGATGTCTCAGCACTTCCAGATAAGCAGAAATTAAGGTCATTTGTTAAAACCAGACCAACCTTACAAGAGGTGCTAAAGGGAGCCCTTTGGACAGAGAATCAATGACAGCCAACAACAACTGACCATTAATACACATGATGATATAACCCAGAAACCAACCCAGCTATGGAAGTATCCAAAGTAAATAAGCCTACAAGATTGTAAACAGGGAACTGGAGAAATCATTTGACAAACGAGTACAACTACAAACCAAAAAGAGGGAAAAAACTGTGTTGTTACAGAACTTCTAGATGGTAGGGAAGTCAAGACAACTACAAGATAGAAGGGAATGTTCTACACTTGGGAAGAAAAGTATAAATTACAGGTTTACCTCAAAGAAAAATTATAAACCTTCACATCAAAATAAAAAAGAGGACCAGCACAAATATTTAGCCAATACTAAAACAATAGCTCTGGTAGCATAGTGGCTAAGACACTTGCCTGCTAACCAGACGGCTGGCGGTTCAAACCCACCAGCCACTCCTCGGAAGGAAGGTTGGGCAATCCTACTTCTGTAGTGATACTGCCTCGGAAACCCAAGGAGGGGTCGCTATGAGTCGGGGCCAACTCGACGGCACACAACAACAACAACAACAACAACAAAACAATAGCAATGAAGGAAGTGATAACACAATTCATAAAGAAAAGGACCTCAGCATAGAAAGTTATATGGAACAAAGAAATTGATACCACGAAAAAGCACCTAACAAAAATGACGGCAACAAATTCATATTTGCTGATAATTACGTATCTGGCAAGGGACTTATCTCTAAGATTTATAGAAAACCCCAATGCCTCAACACCAAAGGAATTAACAATCCAATTGAAAAATGGACAGAAGACATGAATCAACACTTCACCAAGGAGGATATTCAGGTGGCCAGCTAATACATGAAGGGATGCTCACAATCATTGGTCATCAGAGAGATGCAAATAACAACAACGAGATACCATCTCACCCCAGCACTTATGGCAAGGTTCAATGAGACAGAAATAACAAATGCTGGCAGGGATGAGGAGAGATTGGGACCCTCATACACTGCTGGTGGGACTGTGAAGTGATACAACCACTGTGGAAAGCAATATGGCGATTCCTTAGAAAGCTGGAATTGGAGATCCCATTACTAGGTATATATCCTAGAGAGGTGAAAGCCAGGACAGGATCAGATATGTGCACACTCATGTTCATTGCAGCACTATTTACAATAGCAAAAAGATGGAAACAACCTACATGCCCATCAGCAGAAGAGCAGATGACCAAACTATGGTACATACACACAACGGAATGCTATGCAGCACTAAAGAATAATGTAGAGTTTGAAAACAACACATAACATGGATGAACTTAGAGGACATTATGCTGAGGGAAAAAAGTCAATCACAGAAGGACAAATATAGTATTAATTTGTTGTTGTGGAGGGTCAAGGAAAGGTTTATATATGGAAGGAAACTTTCTTTGTTGGCTGCCAGGGGTGGGAGGGGAGGGAACACTGCCAAAAAAAAAAAAAAAAAAAAATTTCAGATGCATCACGGGAGGCAAGCCTGGCCATCTAGTGGTAATCTACTTCTGAAAGGTCACAGCCTTGCAGTTTATGGAACAGGCTTACACCCTGCACACAGGGGGTTGCCTAGAGTTGGGATTGACTCAACAGCAACCAACAACGGCAACAGGCCCTCTCACACACAGACAGGCTCAGCAAAAGAAGGTCACCTTTATTCCAAGCTTCATAGTTAGATGGGGCTCCTTCGAGATGTAACAATTTGTGTTCATATGAAATATGTTTTCCACAGTAGTTGTGTTCTCTAAGGCAATGGAAAAAAAAATCTGCTTTGCGAAGGTGAGAACAGCTTGACTTAATAATATAAGGCTTTCAAAGAGTCATTAATTTTAAAAGAATTATCATTTTCAAGGTACAAAATGACATGCATACAATTAGGCAAAAGAATCAAAGGTGGCTTTTCATAAGGGGGAAGCAGAGAAAAAATGAGAGATCTAATTTGTGTTTAGCACTAAATCAGAGGTGTAAGAGGTCTTGGTCCAACTTTCAACCTTTTCACCAGGCCTTTTCTGGCTGTTTCCTGAGGAAGCACTGCCATCTTGTGGCTCAGTTGGGTTATTGCATACAGGATGAAAAATTCTACCAGAGTCCATTGCAACACTGGTGAACTGAAACATGCAGGTTAATAGCCCGAATATCACTCACCATTTGGAACTGGTTTGGGATAAAAGGGCTGGAAACCCAGACAACTGTACGATTGTTTGTCCTTTTCTTTCATTCTACAGCTGGGCTACAGTTTCTCTCCAGCGATAGAAATTTCAGATAATAAAGTGACCTGCAGAGGCGCTTGTTTCAGGACAACCAGAGCTGAGCGGGTCTCGCAGGATACTTACCAAATGGATGAACCCGGCTGCTGTCAGCCATGTGCTGATAAATATGGAGAGCAGATTCACCAGCTTGATGGAATTACTGTGCAAAAGAGACAACAAGCAAAATCCCCAAGTTACAAAGAGAAGGTCTATTGCGGCTCTCCTAGGATGACAGCACCCTCTTCAGGTGAGAGGCAAACCACCTCTAACTGATTAACCATTTCTCCCTTGTGAGAGAGAATATGCAGGGAAGTGGCATGAAGGAGGGGAGGCATGAGAGGCAGACCGTAGCCTATAGGAATGTCACATCTGGACTACTGTAGCTGCTCTCTAACGACCTAATACTGTGAAAATTAACTCTTAAAAATTCCACTTTTATTTTGAAAATCTTCAAGTTTGTAGAAAAATGGAAAGAAAGAGTACAATGAATGCTTGCATACACTTCCCCTAAATTGACAAATTATTAACATTTTGCCAAGTTGCCTTTTATCTCTATATATTCTTTTCTCTTCCTTTTTTTTTTGGCTGAACTACTTGCAAGTAAGTTATAGACATCATGACATAGCCCCACAAATATTTCAATACTCAACTCCTAAGATGGAGGACATCTTATAATCACAAGACCACTGTTGTTGTTAGGTGCCTTTGAGTTGGTTCTGACTCATAGCGGCAGAAGAGAACAGAACAACAGAAGGAAACAGTCCAACAGAGTGAAGCACTTCCCAGTCCTGCACCATGCTCACAACTGGTGGTATGTCTGAGTGCAGGGTGGCAGGTTGCAGCCGCTGCCTCAGTCCTTGTTGAGGGTCTTCCCCTTCTCACCTTCTCCTTTACCAATTAAGCAACATCATCTAATTTGTGGTCTTTATTTTTCTCCCAAACCCACTGCCACTGAGTTGATTTCAATACAGCACACCTACAGGACAGGGTAAAACTGTCGTGCAGGGGTTCCAAGTCTATAAATATTTACAGAAGCAGATTGCCTCATCATTCTCCCACAGAGAAGATGGTAGGTTCAAACTGCCGAGCTTTGGTCAGCAGCCAAATGCTTAAACCACTACACCACAACCACAGCTCCTTTCAAAATTTCTCCAGTTGCCCCTAAATTGTATTTATAGATGTTTTCATTTTTTTCTTCCTAGTTATTGTTATTATGTTATTATGACCCAGGGTTCAGGCGATGAAGGGTTCTTTCCACCAAGGGCCAAAGAGTAAATATTTCAGGCTTTGTGGACTAAATTGTGTGTCTTTGCAAGTACTCAACTCTGCCACCATAGCAGGAAAGCAACCTCCGGGAACATCTATAGGAATGGGTGTGGCTGTATTCTAAATAAAGCTTTATTTACAAAAACAGTATGAGCTACATTTGAACCATCAGCTACAGTTTGTCAAAGCCTGCTTAGTTTCTTTTACACTATAAATAACACCTCCCCATCCTTTTATTATTTATTTTTAATGACATTTTACTTTTTTTAAATTTTAAAAATTCTTTAATTGTGATTTGGGTGAAATCACAATTACAGAGCAAATTGGTTTTCCATTCAACAATTTACACACATTTTGTTTTGTGCCGCTGGTTACAATCCACACAGTGTAACAGCCCTCTGCCCACTTTTCTCCCTGTGTTTGCTGTTTCCAGTCAGCCTTCTTCCTGTGCCTTTATCCCTGGGAAATGATCTCCCTTTGATCTCCTTCGCAATTGGCTCTTCTAAGGAATGTGTAGCTCCCAGGGGCTACTGTTTACCTTCCAGACCTGTCTATTGTTTGGCTGAAAGTTGGAGCCATAGGGGTGAGTCCAGAAGGGTGTCTAAGGGCTACAGTCTTGGGTTCCACCTGTCTCTATCCAACCAATAAGCTTGGTCTTTTTTATGAGTTTTGCTCCATATTTTTTGCCCACTCTACCCACCTCCAGTTGTGATCCCTTTCAGCAGTGACAGCCAGTTACCATCTAGTTCTTCTGGACTCATGGACACGGAGAACAACCAACAGTTGTACCTTAAATGGTTGCTCACAAGCTTTTAAGACCCCAGTCATTACTCACTAAAGTAGCATATAGAACATAGTCGTTGTGGACTATGTTGTGCCAATTGACCTTGATGACCCTGGAGACTACGGTCCTGATCTTACTTCTATGTGAACCCAGGCTAATTTGCCTTGTAGAGTGTCTCACAGTCTTGATTTGTCTGATTTTTTCCTCATGATTAGATCCTGTTTAAATATTTTTGTTAAGAATACTCTGCTAAGATGGTATCACACGAAGATGTCCCAACTCAGTGATACTAAGTCTGGTCACTAAGTTAAGAAAGGAATGCCAGATCTCTCCTCTGAAAGGCACTCACATACCTTCATAATTAATGTGTTGTCTGTGGGGTGAGACTTGCCCTAGACGACCCACCTGAAGGTTGGCACTTTGAACCCATCCAGTGGTACCATGGAAGAAAGGTAAAGATTATAGCCAACAGAACCCTATGGAGTTCTACTCTGAAGCCTGACAGCAAAGGGTTTGGTTTTGAGTTTGATTAAGGAGAGACTATGAAACAATACTAATATCCTGCCCTTCAACAATCATATACCTAATATTTTAGCATCCACTGGTGCTCCTTGTGTGGATCATTTGGAACCTACTAAACTTTAAGCTCCATGATAGCAGAGGTCTTGTCTTACTCTCTTCTGGGTCCTAGAAGCAGCGAGAGTTCCTGGTCTAAAGTAGGGCCTCTAGGAATATGAACTGAATGAACGGGTGTCCTTGTCATTACCCTCCCCACTGAACTTCATCCCCTTCATTCCCACTGAGTTAATAAATCCCCTGGAATACTGCTGTCAGTAGGTTACTTTCTATTGACTGAAGTGTTATGTCTGAACTCTTTCCTTCCATCTTCAATACTCTCTGAACTTTCAGACTCTTCCACCACTACTCTTCTACATAAGCTCTTCAAATTTTCATCACAGTCAAGTCTATTTACTCTGTCTTGCTTTTACTATAACTCAACAGGAAGGCCCTTTCCATCTATGCAAATATTTCTCATTCTTCAAGAACTGGGTCAATGCCCATCTCTCCTCCTTCATGTCTTTCCACCTACCCTCCAATCCAAAGGGACTTCCTCCTCCTGGCTCTTACCTCCAGTCACTTATTGGTAATTAATCCCACTGTCTTAAGGTATCTTTTGTAACATCACTTCAGATTGCTCTGTGACTCTTTGAGTTCTTACTGCATCTTGAAGAAAAGAACTCTATTTGCTACTTCTGTGAGTCTCCCAACAGTTGGGCTTCATACATCCCATGAAGCAGCTCATAATTCTTCACCGACTGATCTGTTACTACTATCCTCTCCACCTCCTTCGTGGAAAGCCAAGGACATAAATTCTGAGTCTAGGATCATAGTAAGAGCTGTATTAGGTATACAGCTAACACTTTTACAATTCTTTTGTAGTGCTTATCTCACATACCACTGTTCTAAATGCTTTATAGATATTAATTCATTTAATCCTCATAACAACCCTATGAGGTCCTCAGAAGTTAAGAAACAAATTCACACAGTAACTAGCAGAGTTAGGATTTGAACTCAGGCAGTTTGGCTCCGGGGCCTTCACCCTTAGTCACTACACTGTAGTATAAGAGTCACAGACCGGTGTTCCACACAAAATCTTTAACTGCTGAAGCAAAGTTGTGCCTCACCCCAACTCTGAGCATAGGATATTAAAAGGATCAGAAAGTGTGGCCCCAAGGTGAAAATAGACCCTCTAGAGATACCGATTAACCTCTTCAACCACCACAGAAAAGAATGGAAAAGGAGAAATGCCAATGACTTAAACTATTCCAGGGCCACCACATGCAGAGGAAGGTAGGACAGGGGCTGCAGTCCATCGGGAAGCAAGAGTGTTTGCAGACAGAGCCCTGGGTCAGAAGTTCTAGGACAAGCATGATGCCAAAGTCCAGATATGTTTGTTTCTCCAATTTTTTTTCTTTTACATAACTGAGCAGAGGGACCTGTCATCTTAATTTTCTAGAGTTGATCCTGACAGAGTTCAGGGGAAGAATAAGCATACAGTTTCAACTTTGTGGGTGAGCTTGAGCTTTTGAAAGGTGTGAAAGACTTCCTTATGGTTTAAAAACTTAGGCTAAAAAAAAAAAAAAAAGAAAAGTTTTCATGCCATCTTTCTAGAGTTGCCAGATTATAATGTTTGCCCTGAACATGGGCATTTTGAATGGGCACTTGGTCAATGTAGAATAGAGTCAACATTCCTCCCCTGCTGCTACTTTGTAAGCCCTCTAAGATGTGATCTAAAATTAGAGAGTGAGAAACAGATGACGAATGAGTAGCCAGTGGCAAAGGGAGAAATCTCCAGGAAGTGTGTGTTGTTCATTTTCTCAGAGGATAATTAAGTACCAAGTTGATTCACTTACATACTCTTGGATCCTTGAGGCCTGAACCAATCAGTGCCCCACCAACAACCATTGGAGCCCTCTTGAGATATTAAAGCTATTGGAGTCTCAGAGCTTCTTGGGGCTTCAGAAAAATGACCTAAATGTGGTGATTATTAATCTCTAAATGACTGTCACAGTGATATTAATAGTGCTTAAGGGAGCTCTGCTGTGTGTAGAACATTTAATCACTGTTGCTGAAACAGCCCATGTTCAGCACCGAAATCTGATTATTTTTTATAACATCAGCATCATTACAGATTCCTAACATTAGGAATTTGCTTTCCAAATTAAACTCTGTGGCCAGGCAATCATCTGAAAGGTATGGGCAAAAGATGCAAGATGAACCCATGTTGGACTCTGTCATTACTCTGAAATTCAAACCTCACCAGGCTCAGTAGAGCTTCTTGGAAAGACAGAGGTGGGTGGCAGGGGCAGTGTTGTGTGCTCTGCTGGCAAAAGAGGCCACTGGAGATATTCGTAGCTTTTGTGGTCAAGCCCAGAGGTCCGGACCAAACTCGAAGTGTTCACTCATTAGAATGATTAGAATCATTGTAATACGGATTCTACTTGCATTCCCCTGCCTAGAAAAAAGAATGGATTATCATCTCATCATGAAAAACTGACCCATCAAAAGGAAATCTTTTTTGTGCTTCAATGCCATGAGTTCTCATTGGC